CTGATTTAACCTATTCTGCAAGCCTAAGGCAGGGTTTTGTGTAGAGCCTGAGAAGGGCTGAACCCTGATTTCAGAAGCTCAAACGATGTTCATCAAAGGTGAACATCGAGTCAGTATGAGTGCAAGACATAAAACAGCATGGCAAATGAGTGCTAGAGCAGAGTGGAAAAAAAATCAGGCTGAATAACAACCAGCAGACAGCCTCTAAAACTACACCCGTTTCATAGGAAAGGATATGCAGTCATGAATTGTGACGGCTGGAGAAAGCTAAATAAATTTGCAGACTGTCAAAAGTAAATACACAACGAAAACATGTCTTGCAAAAAGAAAGGAGGAGCATTTTGATTTGAGGCAGCATTTACTTTTTAGTCTATGCCTTTGAACAAATGCCTGCAAAACATTTTCAAAGGCATTTTCCCCACTCAACAGTAAAGGCTCACAGTGGTGTTTCCCATTAATAGAAAATACATTTAACTGAAAAAGGGGCTGCCACAGCTCCCTGAACAATTTGATGATAAAACTATTTACACTTTGATATAAAAATCTGTGTTTCTGCATAAATATTGTCTTATTCTGTCATTTTACCGTAGAACGCTGACGGGCCATTTCACATTACGTAGCATAAAAAATGCATGTACCAAAAACTTGAGAAAGAGGTCTGGCATGTCTGAAGCACAAATTTGTGCCAAAGTCTGCTTTTGATTTCTTTATTTCATCAATTCACTGTATCAATCATTACTTGTCCTGATGAATCTCAATAACACGTAGAAAAAAAAGAAAAAAGTTGAGTAGGTGCTCTTAATGTTTTTTTTTTTCGTTATTGAAATCAATTTTACATCATGCAAACAAAGCAGCCAATGGCCATACGGATGGTCCAGCTTAGAAGTGCAACATCATCAGGCCAGGACTCTGCAGTTTACGCTCATCTACAGGCCAGCGGTCACTCATTCAGGGATGAAGATATTCTGATCCTTGATAAGAAGAACGTTGGTTAAGAGAGGCGTAAAGGAAGCCATTTTTGTGAAGAAAAAACACCTGTTTTTAAACAGGAGTGGAGACCTCCGTGTCCAATTGTCCCCCTCTTACAATGCCGTTATTGCCAGAATTTACTGAATAGGTGACAATCAGAGTACTTATGATCAGTTGTTAGGCTGATCTTTGCATGTGAACAACCAGTTTTGATTGTCACCAGTAAACTGTCCACCATGTGGAGGCACTGCTTATAAAGGCTGAGTTTATCTGTAACTCCTCAGACTCAAAAACGTCTCTCGGTTAAGAGACTAAATGTTTCAACATAGACGAACCTCTCCAAAGGACCTACTTAACCTTTTTTTTTTAACTTTTAGATTATTTGTTCAATAGTTGAACCATCAAGCAAAAGAGCGACACCTAAAAAAACTAACGCTAAATAACTATCAACCCTTAATTGATAAACAGTAGCAAACAGCGTCCTGTTTTTATACCACAGTCCACATAAGATGCAGCTTAATAAAGCTGACAAATGATGTACAGGAGTCATTACAAATGAGAATGATTCCCCAGGCACAAAAGCAGACATTAGACAAGAAGTGAGAAATAGGAGGAATAAAAAAAGTATGAACGAGTTGGCAGAGCAGCAAAAAAGAACACCATTCTTGATGTTTCACTTGGGACCTGAGCACATGCCTTAGGTTAACAAATCTCTAAACCAGAGGTCCAAATCACATTTCTGTGCCTGTTATGTTTTCACTGAGCTAATAATAATGTTTGATTTTTGACAAAACAATTTTAAGATGAGAGAGGAAGGAGAGGTGAAAGAGATCAGAGGCAGAGATGACACCATTTGGGACTTTTTAATACTAGATGACAGCTGCTCGCACTCAAACACCCACTTTTTTTTTATTTTTATTTTTAAGATTTGGAAAGTCAGAGAGATCATTTTTAATATATCACACTAAAACAGCTTTAGGTTTTATCAGAGCTTGTCAGATGTTAAGGCTTTTTTTTCCTAGGATAAAAATTAAAACCATTTTTTGATGTTCTGTGGTTTCTGCTCTAATATTCAAGAGACAGCCCTCAAAATACACTTAACGAAAAACAGAGCACGTGTTAAAAAGAGAAAGTTCCACCAATCACTTTTACAACTTTTTATTATTTTTCTATTTACTGTTGTGTTTTTTCCAAAAAATAAAATCAGTTGATCAGTTTGGTTGTTAGGTAAATATATAAAAATGTACATTTTATGAAATACAAAACACATTCCACATCATTTACTAGACCACCTTCTACAAATACTGATCACAGAACCCAAACTGTTAGCAGGTGAATGTCAACTAATTCTTCAAATGCATAATTTCCTCTTATTAAGGAAACTATGCCGAACTAGTTACAATGCAGGCATTTGGTGAAATGTGTCTTGATGATGCTACATAAAAGCCAGCAGGAATGGATTATAAACAAGGTGTTTTAAGCAGTTAAGGCTCTTTTGTGTGAGAGAAAAGCTCCCTATGGTGTGGACTTTCACTTTAGTGTCAGTCATACTGTTGCTTTTCCACAAGAACAAAAAAGCTCCTTAACAGACAGAATGAATAGTATCACTTTAAAAGTTATCAAAATGGAAAGCTAGATGAATGATTTGAGGGTTGAGTAATCAGATTTTTTTTTAAACTTGGCGTCTACTAATTATGAAAACAGAAAATTCGAAATGATTGTTCAAGATTTTGATTTGAAGAGATGCTTCCCGTAATTTAGTCCACATCTGCAATAGGTTCCATTTAAAAAACTCATTTATATTACATATGAAGTTCAATGTAACACATTGCTATAATAATCTTTCAAATGTCAGTATTCTTTCCAATATTCTGCATTCTTTTAAATTATAATTCATTAAAATCCTAACACTGACCAAAAAAACCCACTCTGAGTCCTGAATTAATGAGTCATTAAGTATTAAAATCCCTGTACAAGAGTCCAGTTGCTTGTGAAAAGATGGAAAATATACCAGTCAACTTGTTCTCTTACTGTAAAGTAATTTTCTGACGTGTGTTCTACTCAATGCAAGTAAAAACTATACATTTTAATCCACCAGCTTAATTTTTTTGTTGGATGCAAAATCCACTGCTCTACTTAGAAAATTTCAAGATTTGAAAATTATGTAACATATGCAAAAGACTACGTGTTACAGATAGAACTGAATAATTCAAACTAAAGCACAGGGTAGTGCTTCATTCAGGGAAAATAGGACTCCAAGAGGCAGGGAGACATAGAAAATGCTGCAAAGCTGCAAAAACAAGTGAAGATATCTGGGATTTATTCTTATTCAGCCTAATCCAATCAAGTACAATCTTGGCTAAATCATGTGGTGAGGATTTAAGTCTGCTCTAGGAAAAAAAATACAGCTCAACAATTTAGTGACAACTTTATGATGCATGTTTTTTCTATTATAAATTGTGTATTACAGGACACTGCATGTGGATCAACAAATGTAAAATGCCAAACCCAGACTGTTCTCTGCAGTTTAATAATTGTGCTTCTTTTTAAACTGTTTAGGGTCATAATGGCTACATCAATAAAGCAAAATGAGAATGTTTTGTTTAATGTCAGAATCTAGGCAGCAAGATTTTTCTCATACTATAATCCACATCTCATCATTAGCCTTGTGTTATATAATAACACAGAATTATAATGTCAGAAATTCATTAATAAATTAATATTAGAGCAATTAGAACAAGTGGCTTTTAATATTTAAAGACAAATGGTCAAAAAAGTCATGTTATAACCAAAAGCTTGAAGTGTTTAAATTAAAAACAAAATTATCATCCTAAACTTTGCCAGGAGAAAAAAAAAAGTTGAGTGCCCCATTTAGTAATAATAAATATGCCCCTCCACACCAACACAACAAGAAAATACAAGTTGTGTGAGTTTAGAAATTTAGAAAATTTTATTCCACATTTCATGGGTAAATGGGGAAAAAGTGTTAAACTTTGCTGCACTACAGATATTAAAGCACAAAAAGGATTTAATACTTTTGTTTCTACAGCCTAAATAACCTCGGAATAGTTTTTGAATCGCTTACAACTCACGCCACCAGTTTTGATCCTGCATTTCTTTTAAACGGCAGTGTCTTCTAAATTTCTATTTGCTTGGCATATCTCATGTACCAAATTAAAATAAAAACAAAAACAACACAAATGAAAAAAAGGCATGCATATGCTTTCCATGCACCAAATCCCATATCAAGGATTTTGTGAACGAGGAAAGCAAAAATAAATGAAAATAAAGTATTTGAGGGGGCGTGGGAGATTTGTTATTGCCACTTAAAGGGCTTGCTGTCCCTCTATTGCCTCGTTTCCTCGCAATTTTCATCACCATCAAACACCAGGAGAGATGCAACGAGTGTGTGTGTGTGTGGGGGGGGGCGGGGTTGTTAATGATGTACAATACATTAAAAACAGGCAGCTGGTGTAGCTCAGCAACAGACAAAGCCCCTCCACAGACACATTAGTGTCTGTTATTAGCTTGCACTGACAAATTGGTTTGTTTTCTACGTCCTTCATACAACTTGCACCAATTACACCCATCTCTTCATAGCGGGTACTCGATGATGCTGATTGTCAGAGTGACAGCGAAGAACCAAAAACAGAACACGTAATGAACGGATCTGTATTTGCATTAAAGCAGAAGCTTAAACGTATTTTTTTAAAACAGGTTTACATACAGAAACTGCAATATTTTAAACTAAATATGTTGTTTAAGCATGATGGGTTGAATGAAAAAAGAAGGCTCTGAACAAAATCCACTGCAGAAACAAACATTTTTACCAATAATTTGACAAGATCTCTTATTCTAAATCTTTAATTTAAACTAATTTAGATGTTTGTGTTAACTGCTACTGACATTGTAGAAATCATGTAGAACAAAATATATGAAGTATTAACAAGGCTTGTTAAAAAACACAAAGGTTACTGAGGATAATGATCTCTTCAGTGTTTGACATGACCTAATGTCTTCTCTCGACTTACCGGGTTCCAGGTCAAGCTGGCAGAGGTACTGGGAGGTGCTGAGGGTGACCACAATAACACGGTGCCTGAGAATGTCCTCCCTTGTGGGCATCTGGAAAGTGATGTGTGTGCTGGAGATGAGACAGTACTGCTGGACCACCGGATGGACAGTCTTCACCCATCGGTTCCTGAAGTATACCCTGGAGTTAAAAAAAAAACAAAAGTAGAAAAATTAGGTCAAGGATACAGACAAGGAAATACAAAACAAAACAAAAAATTAAAAAACGGTCTGACAATCGCCTTTTTCCCCAGCATGTTTACATCACAAATGTGTTGCTTACATTGTGATTAAAGAATGTGTTTAAATTCACGCCTCTTTTCTCTATAATGAGCTGGACAAAAGTTTAGAAGTAAATACTTGACAGTTATGCTGTTATGATATGATCTTTGGGACTTTAAAACTACTCTTGCACCCAGCTGTTTTATTGTGTATCAATTAAAATAGGAATTAGTAAAAATCCGATAGATTAAAATCAGAGTTCCTACAGCTTAAGGCAAGTTGAATCGTAAGGTTATGAATATAATCACGGTTCCTTGAAGGAATGGAACAAAGTACAACACACAGTTGTATATGGGACACGCGCGCCCTC